TGAAAATATTGTCGGGCATAAACCGGTCCGTGGCGCAAAAAAGGTCGGGGACCGCTGTTCTAGTGGACCCAATAATGTTTATTTATTTTTTCCTGGAAAAAGTGACCAAATATTAATTATCTGCGACTATCTGGGATCAACAATCAAAGACAGGTGGCTCTTTAATTTAGCAAAAAAGGTCCACCAAGGCCACTTCTTCTGTAAATTTCTGCTTCTTGGTCTACTCAGGCAGTGTTTGAAAAATCCATTTTGGACACAACAATAAAGTGCACATCATGCGCACATATTCATGTATCGTATCATATAATCATATATCCAATGTGTTATAACATACAATGCAATACTACTATATTATATGAGGCATTATATAAGGATTGAAATAAAGTATCTTACATCAATCAATCAATCAACGGGATATTCCAGTGTTTTAGCTTTAGTATAACTGAGATTTTAACACAGTTTAACAAACACACTCATTCCTAAATAATTGTTGAGTAAACAGTGATACTATTCACGTTTCATACTGAAGGTATGGTCAGAGTGGGTATATTCATATAATTCTCAACATTCACAAACATCCAAACAACAGTGCATTGACTCATTTGTGTTTGGAGGCAGAGTAAACAGAGGCGGCAAAAGTACAGACTTTCTGTACTAAAGTAGAAGTACAGATACTAGTGTTAAAAATACTCCAGTAAAAGTTGAAGTACTGATTCAGCTTTTTTACTCAAGTAAAAGTGAAAAAAACACAGGCTCTGAAATGTACTTGAAGTTAAAAAGAGTAGCTCCTTGAAGAACAATTCTACTAACCATTTTTGTACAAAGATAACTGAACCTTGTGCTAAATGGATATAAACAATATCAGTACACGAGAGTGCAAATATTTTTCCAATCTAAATTCTCATAAAAGATTCAATCTGTTATGTAGAAGAGAATGTAAAAAAAAAAACTATTTTCTGTTGCCTGCAGGGTGACTTTGTCTCCACACCTAAACAGTAAAATGAGTACAGTCAGGGGTTACAGTCGGATTTAGCAGGTGGGGGAACCCTAAGATCTGTGTAGTGGCTCAGCAAAAGGAAATAATTATTTATAGCATGAGCTTCAGTAGACTTTCTAAGTGTACATAATGTGACCATGTACACAAACACTTGAGTGACATTAGCTCTCCTTCTTTTCTCTCCCTGTGAAATACAGCACCTGGAGCAACACACTGTGCGACAAATTGCACACAAACAGTTTGTGTTTGCAGAGCTGATAGCAACGTTGAATTTTTGAAATAACCTGTCACTTAAAAAAACATCACTCCCTTCATGCGTTCTCCTCTTCTGTAGCGCTAGCTACATGCTGAAGTACTACAACCACAACATACCTGCACTCCTTCCAGCCCACTTTAATCCCCCCAAGTATAAACACTATAAATGAACCTAAAGTAACAAGTCTGTTTTGAAAATGTAAGGAGAAGAAAGTACAGATATGTGTTTTAAAAATGTAGGGAATAAATGTAAAAAGTTGTCAGAAAATTAAATACTCAAGGACAGACACCTGAAAATTCAGTACAGTAACAAAGCATTTGTTACCCATGCTGCAGATTGCTGCGTTAAAAGGGAAATCTTTATCTAATCTTGTGAAAAATGTCATGCACTTCTTATTTTTCAGATGGTGGATCCATGTTCATCAGCAGACAGTGAGTCTGTTTCCTCTGTGACTGTGGAGCTGAGTAGGGAGTCTCTGGACACTATACTGGATGGACTTGGACGCATCAGAGACCAACTGTCAGTAGTTGCTGGGAAGTGATCACTGAAAGCTCAGAGACAGTGCTTTGATTTTTACAGTGTGATGCTGATGTGTTTGGACTATCATCTGTGTCTAACAACTGCCTGTGTCCCCACTTTGCCCCAGTACAAAAGTCAAGATGAAATATGGTGGAACTATTTCCATCCATGTTGAGTTAGTGCTTTAAGAATTTCTCCAGTAATGAGGGTAAATTGAGACATACGGTCTCACGTCCTGTCTCGTCCAGTTGGCAAACATGTATACCTGGAACTTGATATAACCCATCAGATTTAGTCCTCACAGTTTTCAAGATAAAATTTATTGCCATACGTCTGCTCTTTACTTTGTATAGAGGTCCCAGTAGTGGGTGGAACCATGATAATATGTGTCTACTTCCAGTCAACAGTGAAAAAACTTTGGTTGCAAATGATTTAACCAGCTGAAATTGTCACAGGTTTCATGTCCTATATATCTGTGTATTAATTTGGTGATTTAGAATATATCTGAATGTTGTTTAACTAATGGATTAGAATGAAATATGTCTTTCATTCTAACTGTTCAATCAATAAAAATTTATTTTAATTGGATCTGCCACAAGTTGAAGCAATTTCCACGTCTTTTTTTTTATCAAGCAGTTTTAAATTGAAGACAGTAGCTTTTGCAGAGGCACTCAATTTATTCCCATTTCTTTCACTAGCTCTATAAAACATAAAACATACCAAAATTGTATTTTTGCACCAACAAGGTGATTCCCATAGCACTTTTAGCTGAAATCTTGGCATATCTTGGCACTGTTGGGCAAACCAGATAAGTTCAGGACAAAAGAAATAGCAAGGTCTAAAAAAACAAAACGATGTACAGCAGATAAAATATCTTTAAGTAATAGGGAAAATGCCAATTCTGTTCGCTCCAGTCTGAATGCCAAATGTCTTTGGGCAAGATACTAATCACAAGTTGCTCTCTGGTGCATCCATCGCAGCATGAATGTGAGTTAATGTTAGATGGAAGCAATTATATAGAAAGAGCATAGAAAAAAGCATTTGTGTGAATGAGGCAAGTTGTGTAAAGTGTTTGAGTGCTCACTTCGAGTCGAAAAGCTATCTAAGAACCACTCAATTTACCAATTAGTCTAATACAGCTAACAGGAACCACGTTGCAAAGGTGCCCCACAGACTACCAAACACATACTAGGAGGATGTAAGATGGGACAGTGTACACTGAGAGACACAACGAAGTTGCTGGAATAGTGTACAAAAACATCTGTGCTGCATATGGACTAGAAGTCTCCAGTTTCCAATGGCAGACGCCACCAAAGGTAGTTGAAAACTACACGGTTAAGGTCCTGTGGGACTTCAAATTCCAGACAGATAAGCAGCTGGCTAAACATTCAGATATAATGGTGGATCAGAAGGCTCATAAGACTGCAGCTTGTTATAGATGTGTCAATCTCAGTGGAAAGCAACATCAGGAAAGCACATGGAAAAATACAGATGTATCATGACCTGAATGAACAACAGGAGCAGATGTTTAAAGTTCTTGAGAAGGGGACTTTCTCCTGTTGATCTGCCTGCAAGAAAACTGCACTAGCCTCCATCTTGCTGTCATCAACCTGCAAATAGAAAGGGTGGGCCATCAGGATAAAATATATGATAATATCTAACCCTTTCCAGGAAATGTACCAATTCTCACTTGGTAGAAGGTGTTGTGCCAGACTGTTATGGTGATGGGAGAGCTGAGATAAAAGTCAAAGGCTTTTGATTCGCCAGTCCATTAACCAGATTTTATAATGAAATCGGGTTAATAACTAAAAGAGGAATATGGCAACTGCAAGTGGCTGGATGATGGAGTTTCCTCCAAGAGGTGGCTTGGCTCAGCTTTAAATATAGGATGAGGAGTGTAGATATCCACAGGGATGTCATAGAAAAGCTGCTGCTCCGCATCTCAAAAGGAGCCTGTTCATGTGGTTTGGGCATTTGTTTAGGGTGCCTCTTAGACACCTCCCTTTGGAGTTTTTACGGGCGGAGGAGACCCCAGGAGGAGACCCCAGCATGAACCCAGAACCCGCTGGAGAGATTATATAAAGTTTATTATTCACCCTGAAAAAAACTGGGTCTTTTAACAAACTTGTACTGAATACAGCTTTAATGAATTAAAAAATAATAAGAATTTGATGTACAAGTTTTAATTTATTGAGAATTTTCTCTTACAAAAATAATTCTGGCTGGATATTTGATGAGTTCATTGCAATTGGTTGCTTTCCTGGCCTGTATTTTGCTTTTGTAATCCACAAATTTTCAGAAGGATTGATGTTGGGACTTTGGGAAGGCCATTGTGGAAGCTTAATGTTAGTCTGCTTTATCCATTCCAAAACCAGTTTTATG